CATTTCGCTTGCTAGTGTTGACCTCCTGGTATTTACACGATGGTTTCAGTATGGCGTTATGACACCGGAGCACGTCCCGTCGCTTCTGGACATCCACGCCTCTAAGACATTTCCACACATCTGGAAAACTCTACTCGGACATCGTCGTCGGCTGGAACATCGGATGTCGGCCGACCTAACGCAGATGCGCTGAGCCAAACACACCGCAATCCAGATCTTCCACCACCAAAGACGGAAAGATGCAGCGTCAGCTTCGCTTGATGGGTCGTGGAAGGATGTAGGCAAAGGTAACTGAGGCCTACCTCTGGACGCCGAGCACTATTGAAAACAGGTGCTCTCATCCGCAGATTACGTAGGTAGCCGGCCAAGTCGTGTAGTATTACGCGCTCACTGAGTATTCAGCTTACTCCTAATGTATGGGGGTTCGTCCTCACATGTGTGTCCCATTCGTGTTACCTTAGTTCCGTAAGTCCAAAATCCAACTTCACCGGACCAACTGAGACTGATCTCCGAGTAATCCATCACTATCCGATGCTTTCATAGGGTGTCTGCTGAAGATTGCAAATGCACTCATGTTTGCATTCCTACATTGAGATTGTTGTTTGAAAGCTACATGGCTGCCATATGCTCTGCTTCGTCACTCTTCAGCGACTGATTTCAACCTCAGCTCGGCGTTTGCTGATATTTCGAAAGCATTTGACTCGCTTCCGCATGACAAAGGCGTCAGATCTGTCGAGGCGTTTGGAGCACCGCCTCCTCTGGTTCGATACGTCGTACAGTGCTATGAGATTACTGTAGCGGTTTTTTCTAATTCCGGGGTTCACTGACGCAGAGGTGAGACAAGGAAATCCATTCTCCCCATTTTTGTTCATCATGACAATGGATGAGGTTCTTTGCTATGAGATGTAGCGGTTTTTTCTAATTCCGGGGTTCACTGACGCAGAGGTGAGACAAGGAAATCCATTCTCCCCATTTTTGTTCATCATGACAATGGATGAGGTTCTTGGATTGTCGGTGTCACCACAAGAATACCGATTCCATGACACCCTAGTAGGGGGTTTAGCCCTCGTTGACAACCAAGTAATGTGTGCAGAAAGTCGGGCTTGCCTTAAGTAGAAGGTTGAAGTTGCTGCCACCAAGTTAGGAAGAGCTGATATGAAGGTACACGCCCGAAAGATGAAAGCGATGGTGAGTTGTGAAGTGAAGACAGGTCGGGCGGCTGCATTCTCGGCCGGAACGTTTTGATTCGCCAAGAAACGCACCACTCCTCTGGGTCCGACAGACACCGTGCCGTGATAAGGCATATCCTGTCCTTCCAATGGGAAAGTGGTCTGCAACCACCAAAAGCGGCTGCTCAAACTGTTCAATGAGGCGACACGTGTCCAGTTGAAGTCACATCAGGAGGAACTACTCCATACCAAGGCTGGCATATTCACTCATGTTCGGCTAAGCCCACCGAAACACGCTCAAATGTTGAACAACCACATCGGGCAATCTATTCGTTGCTGGCTACATCTACCGTAGGACACCCCGATCGGCTACATCCACACTGGTAAACAACGTGGAGGACTTGGTGTCCCGAGTCTTACTGCAACAATCTCGGCGCAGCGGAGAGGGCGTTTGGAAAAGCTCCTTTTTACCCAGTGCCGTCTACTACGCAATGTCGTCAACGATTCCGCATTTGGCAAGATTGTTCCGGAACTCAGTCCAGATATCCGAGTCTATGGTGCATGCGTAAACACCAAGAAAGAGCTGTTGGCTGCCTGGGGCTGCGCAGCAGTCTGCACAACAGTGTCTAGGTTTGAAGGAGACAATCACTTTGCCCCTTTTGAATCGATGGTTTGTATTCCCAGAGTGAATGTTTCCTCGGATGTTTAGTCGCGGTATCCGGCTCCGATGCAACCTGTTCAGGACGAGAGTTAGAGACGCTCGGTGTGGTCACGGTGGGCAGACGACACATTTCTTGGAGTCTGTGACCGACCAGAGTTCGGTGCATATTTCGCAGTACGGCTCGATCGCGCACATTGCCAAATGTACTCGTCATAATCGGCTTGAAAGAGAACTCGCAAAACGTCCCCGTCGCCTGGGGTACACCGTCTTCCAGGAGTTGGGGGCACCCACTTTGACGTCTTTAATCAAGCCTGACCCAATTGCTGTTCGAGGGTGCCGAGAAACTGTGGTAGACGTAAGTATATTCTCGGATGGGCGCGGAGTGACTGTGTGCAGTGGGAAGAAGCAGAAGTATGGTGCTGATGAATATTCTCTCGCCATAATCTCAGCCCTACGTGCAATTGGTTGCGACGTCGAATTTTTGATCCACCAACCGATGATCATTTCCTATCGATTGATATGCCCTCCTCAATCCATCGAGGCTTTTGTTAGACCGAGCCTTCCTAAGGTCACGGTCAGCGACTTGTGTTTGCTTGCTATTGTGGGCTGAATGCGTACTTACGATAGTCTTCTGCGTGGTATATGGCGTTGGTTATGCATTGTTGCCACTGGATCGCGCCCCAAACCGGGTATGACGGACACTGTGCCCGGGTGCGAATCTTGCTTGTACTAGCGCTTACCGTAACTTGAAGAGCGTTCAGCATTGGTTGTTATTTCCTCGGTGGTTGGTCTTTACACGCGTGTATCCGTACCGAATATTTCACACAGGTTGAATTTCATCTTGTATGACCAGAACTTTTGGTTATATTACTTCGAATGAGACGCTTCTCCTGTAAACGTTCCACGTCCGTCGCTTACATTTACTTTTTTGTTCTCTGACCATGCTCCACAAAACTAAACGATGGCAAGTAATGCAAGTGTTGTTTCGAAAATGGAAGAATCAAAATAAATTGCGTGTTTTGCTAGCGGTGTCAAAAATTGATCCTCTCGCGCTCCGACGAAGCTCGGAAAACAGGGTGTTGTCCAACACGACTGAGGCGGTTTTTCGGATAAGCACTTCAACACTGCTTCTGCCACGTCCGGCGATGAAAATCGGGGAGGTATGTTATCGAAGAGGTTAGTGGATTTAATATCCCACGCCAGCCGTGAGTTGAAGCTTCGCCGCGGCCTCTGCGGCATGCTGGTCTGCTGCCTGCCTTTGAGGATTCGATGCCTGCTGCTCGTACGCAGGGCGACTTTGTCCGCTCTGAAATACAGGTTCCGCGAACTCTTTGTCTTTGGAGCCCACAATTTTATCCATCGTGATCAAAAATGTTAATTGATTCTACTCGCGGCTCATGCGATGCCAACTTTTGGACGCCTGGATTTGCTTTTGTCCATATATCTGCACTAAGCAGATAGATGGCGCGATGTGGCGGTGGCGCGGCGTCGCCACCAAAACCACTCTGGGAGATCCTGTCGGGTCGCTTCTGTTTGAGGAAGCAACACCAAGGAGTTTTGTTCCTGATGGCATTACCAAGAAGCTGAAATTAGCGGAAGACCGCACCTTGAATTTAGAAAGCAAAGTACGGTTGGTTGTCGACTTTATACTTTTTCTACCTCGACATAGTATGTAGCGAATGTAATCCGTTGTCATTTTACCATTGTTCCTGAACTTGAACTAAACTTTGTCACTGTCGTTCACATTGTGTCATGATGTTCAAGGTAATTCAAAGTTTAGTGGTGCAAAATGCAGTTAAATTTACAACGTATATATACAAATGGACGCAAAAATATGCGTGATGNATGCCAACTTTTGGACGCCTGGATTTGCTGTTGTCCACATATCTGCACTAAGCAGACATAAAATATGAACACTTCGCTGGACCCAACAATATATATGTTTGCCGAATCGTATTATTCAACCATCTATGTGCACACGGCTTCCTTGTTATCGTCAACTGGAATAATGGAGAGGCTGGTGAGTTCACCTTTAAAACAGTAATTCTCCAGGTTCAGCGCAGATACCGACCGGAATCGTGGACAAATGGGGTGGTTAAGCATCCACGGAGATGGCTCTTGCATCGCCACTGCACAGTTCATGTTGTTGTCTAACAGTTGTGTACTTAAGTGAAGATGAGATCCATCGGAATCTGCACTGTGACCAGGTTCGCCGAACAAAATCATCTCATTATTTTAAACCTGGAGGGTGTAAAGCGGACAAACGACAATGACCGATCTTCCAGTGTGGGACTTGCATTAGATATCCTTTAGATGTTCTTATTCTTAAGGAACACCGAAGAACGCCAAAAGATGCTGAAGTGCGAGTTTGCGTTTTATCTCGCGTAAACCGGCAAAAAATGCGAATCAGTGATGGTCCGTGACCTTCAAATTTGGCTCACTTAAACAAAATGCTCGAGCAACATGTCACCGGAAGGTGAATGGATTAGACTAACTCCCATTAAAGCGAAAACTTCGAAAACCCTATAGATTCGGCGGAAATAATTGGGGTGTGATTCTAGTCAGCGGCCTGGGTGAAGTTATTCGTGTTCACACTTTGTAAAAGCATCACCAGATTGCGACTGTGCAAGCTTCGTTGGCGTGAGGGAACTTCAGGTGATAATCCTGGAATACTCCGTCCGACTATCTGATTGGTGGCGTGGTGACCGCAACGAAAGCTGGAAGGATCAAGTTATCGTGATGGAGGAACGCTTCGGACTTGTGGCGGACTAGGACCTTATCAGCGT